TGCAAAACTAAAAGCAAAGGAAGCACATGGCAAATTTACCTCTTGTTCTTTGCTACTTAGAAGGAGTATCCCTCTCCACATAATTTGTAAGGATGGAGGCCTTTCTCTTGGCAAGGATTCTTGGAGCTTTTTCTAGCAAATTTGACTTCTTGGTTTGAATGGTGATGGCAAATTCTGAGTCATCTCCTTGTTCTATATTATCTTTTTCTTCAAATTTTCTTATGAGTGGCGAAGGAGCTAAAGCAAAAATGTCACTCATAACCTGAAGAAAATGAAGGAGAAAGTGTCATCACCACCATGTCTTATATAAGGAAGTGCAACATAGATGAAAAGGAGGATCTGGTAGAATCATGATTTAAAGAATCTGGGCAACTTCAACAAGCCTTTTTGTCATTGTCCTCAATTCTCCCATCACAAAGTAGAGAGGATAGCTATGGTTAAAAGAAAAGAAAGGTGGGAATAGGATGTCTTGACAGTACCCAAGCTACTGGCATAATTGATCAGTGTGTAAAGCTCAACACCACACTTAGAATTGAGGGCATTCAAATTGCAACCCATAAACAGACCCAAAGTAGTCACACATTGAGACCAAAATGCCCTAAACTTTAGGGACTGAATATTAGCTTTATACCAAGAAGGGTCATGGGATTTGCTTCGAAAGATTGCAAAATCTAAATTAGGTCTATCAATGGCAAGAGAGGCATAAAATGTAAAACATTCCTCAAAACTCCTCTTGTTTTCATGGCATTTTTTAACATTAAGCCGTAGGTGAGAAGATCTTGACCTGGAATAGTAGAAAGAACAGTAGTAAATGCAAGAAAATATGAATAAAGCCACAATTGCAGAATCCAAAGCAACCTCCCACTACTACCTAGGGGGTAGGCCATAACTTCTTGACAACTCTTATATAAATAGATAAGCAGAAATAGGCCTAAAGCTAAATGTCTACCATAAACTAAAGCGGTGGCTAATGGAATAAATTCTTTAGTAAGCCATTTATTAGTAGAACAGACCATATTCTTGCAAATTAATGTAAGCAAAAATGAAAGATGTTCCTGGGTGTTGGTAGGCTTACTTGGGTCATAGGCAGATCTTACTAAAGTTGGAAAGGAAGGCTTTAGATCTTTCTGGCATACTCAACACCCAGCGGCATGGCCAAAAGTGTAGTAATTTCTTTTCCTGTACAAGGCAAACCTATTAAAGAAATGATGTCAAAAGAGGCTCATCGACATGGTGTCGCACAGAAAGTGAAAGCAACTGAAGGAACTAGAGTAGAAGAGCAACATAGAACTCAAAATTAGCCTGTCCATGATGAACTTACACTTTGCTAGCTAATTGAACTCGTATAGGCTAACGTCTCTCCAGATTTTACAACAACGAAGCTCCAAACGATCTATCTAATTAGACCACTCAAATTTTCTCCAAGTTGGCCAAGATTTGAATCGGCTAACTCATTTACTCCAATCGGGCTTCACTTGAAAGGAAAGAGGATGGTCTTTTGGTTGTGGGTATAGGAGCTTTAAAGGAAAGGGTGAAGGAGAAATGAAGTATGGACCCAAAATCAAAGATTTTATGAGGGGAACAAACACTTGATTTAAATGGCATATCTTGTGGCTTTGGAGAACTTGGTTGATTTCACTTTAGAGGTCCCTAGCTTGGAGAAAGCTTACCATATCTGCAAGAGGTGGTTTCACGAGTGGAGCGGCTTTGGTTTCAACCATGGTGGAGGTAGATTTAGTGGGGGGTACTTGATCTTTCTTGTTGCCATCCATGGGAATAGATTTGGAAGAGAAAAAGGAGATGGAAAGGTCGGTGGCATCTCGAGGACGAAAAAGAGATTAAAACGGGGTGAGTCTCACTTTCAACTTTAAAAATTCCTTATCTTTGGGGATTTTTGGAGTTTAAAAGTTAAAAATATTTTTTTTTAAAAAAAGAAGAAAGTAGAAGTTACTTTTGAAGTTGTTTTGGGAGTTAATTGAAAAGACCTGTAATATCCCAAATTTTCGGGAATTTTATCATTTAAGTTAGGGACTAAATTGTGGAAAAATGCTGTTTTGGGGCCTAATGGTAAAATGTTCAAAATTTGAGGGATTTAAAGAGGGAAAATAATTGGATAAGGATCAGTTTCTTTTCTTCCCCAGCCACTTCCCGATTCTGCTCTTCTTCTTCTCGCTGCAGCTCCTGAAATCCCCCTCCAAGTCGCCGACACCAGCTTTGAAAATTTTGTGAGAAAGCTTGGAATATCTCCTTCTTTCTTGTCCAAGAACCTGACTTGGAACCCAGAAATCTTTCCCCTTTACTGGAAATTCCAGATCTGCCTTGCTCTGCTTGTCTTCAGCGCCGGCTGCTAGTGGGTATGGGTGATTTCTGGGCATTTTTTTCGGTAAGAACAGCCCCTAATTTCCTTTGTTCTTGCTTGAATTGGCTTGGGTTAACTTTGATTGCTCTTATTTCCTTCAATTTTGGGTAGTTCCCGTGAGCTTCCCCTGCACTTGCCGCCGGCTTCTCCCCCTGCCAAGTTCGGTTCTGCAACTGGAAAATTTATGGTAGGTTGGCTTCTCTAATTCTCGAAAATTGGTTGATTAGTGGCTCTTTGTGATGTCTGAATTTGGCTAGAAAATGGGGATGAAATTGATAGTAATTAGACCATGATTTAGCTTGATTCAAGTGGAATTTATATGATTGAGTGTTAATGGACTGCTATGTGATTTTTGGAGAAAATCCCGTGAGATTAGCTAGTGTTTTGGCCAATTTGTGGGAGTGGAGTTACTGTTCACGTCGGGGTACTGTTTACGGGTACTGTTTACGGGTATTGTTCACCGACATTGTTCACACACCGAGGACCAACAATTAACGGGGATTTAAATGATTAGTTGTGATATAAGAACGAATTTGGAGATATTTGATTATGTGGAGATTGATAAGAATTAGTATCGTGATTAAGGAGTCTTAATGATGATTTCAGTTTGAATTTATAATAGTGCGATAATTAATTATTAGGTATCTTGATTAGGTTCTTGATTGTTCTGTCAGTTAGCATTGAGATTGAGTGCTCGGTTTTATGCGAGTGAGGTAAGTAAATTTATGGTAATGCCTGTACTGCTTTTAAAAGCATGTTTTGATTTGTTTTTGAAATGGTGGCGGGACTAAAACCGTTTTTACAAAGTAAGTATGACTGATTTGAACTGAAAATTTTTATGATTTTTATGGATTTGAGCATGCCTACTTGAAGTTCATGTGATTGTCCTAGTGATTGAAAAGTTATTTATAAAGAATGATTTTCTGTTAAATTCAGCCTGTTTTGTCTCCGATATGGTCATGTTATTCTGTTGCCCGCTAGTGGGAGTTATAAACGCTAGCACATGTCGACATGTTACTGATAGAACCGGTTCGTTTCTGTTATCCTGCTAGTGGGATTAAACACTAGAAATTTCTGTTGCCCGCCAGTGGGAGGTTTATAACACTGGCCGTGACCTATAGAGGAGACGTCTATTTCGTTCCCGTACTTGTATCCGTTTTCTGATTACACTTGTTGGCATGCTATAAGTTTAATAAGGGCACTCCATATTTTACTTACTGAGATAGTTTATCTTATAGTTTTTCCTTGTCCACCATTTCAGGAAGCGAAACCGAGGACGGGGAAACCACGAGAAGTGACGAGTTAGAAAGCTAGCCATTTCGTGATTGATATAGATTTTTAGAAATAAATTATGATCTTGTAAACTAGAGTGTATTGGAGATTTTATGATATGAGAGAAAATTTTAAAGATTTGATCTTCAGATTTTGGTGGTATCAGTACAGTATGATAAGTTCCGAGCCTTGTGCATTTGTGGGACCTTCTCACGAGTGCACGGCGTCTGTCGTGCCTCGAATTCGGGTTTTGGGACGTGACAAGACCCCTTTTGGTGATTGAAATCTGACATATGGCATAGGGAGTTGGAGCTTGTATGCAATTTATTTAATTAAAAACACTTGGATTTATTTCCATAAAACCAAGTGTTGGGGGCATTGTTTACACCATAAAGTGCAAGACTTAAGTTTATGCCACGTCTCAAAATTTTTTTAAATGGTTGGATGAAGCTAGATCAGATATGCTATTCTTGGGCCCTTGACAAATTAGATGTCATATAAAAAAAAAAAAAAAAGAGAAAAGGACCGAAGAGATGAGATTTATCCTTTAGTTGCCTATTTGAGTCATGATGGAAATGTTTTGGTTGGTCTTTAGGAATTTGTTTCCTAGTAGATAACAAGGATAGATGGCAAAATCTGGCTGGAGATCTAACTCAGTCTACTGTGAATATGTACGTTTTCTTCAAAAAGAACCACCCACATTTGTGTAATCGCTTGGTAGTGGGGAGTTGCAAGCAAGGAGGAGACAAACAAAAAGAATTTTCTGATCATTCAAGACATGGCTAGCATTATACACATAACTCATCAAATTTTCAATTCTTTAGTTTCATAGTGATTGTTGACTTTAGCTTACATATTTTGGTTTTCAACAGTAGATGTAGGTTGTTTTCAACAGTAGATGTAGGTTGTTTTCAACATTCAGATAGCCAAATTAGTTCATGTTGTTGCTTCTTTGATTTCCTTTCGTGCAATGAACATCAAGTTTTTCACTTTCTATAATGTACTATTCTTTTTCTAACTAGTATTAGTTAAGTGTTTGCGATAAGTAGTATTTCTCTAAATGATTACTTATATGGCATTCACGCTTTTCCTTAATTTCTAGCATGTTAATCTAACACTGAACATACTTAGTTTAACTTGAATGCATCTTTTATTTATAAGTTTACTTTAATTTACATAAAATTTAGTTCATTTAGGATCTATTAATTGCCATAAGTCAAATTTTTGATAAAATCTTTATTTTTTTAACTAATATGTCATTTCTGTTTTCATTGTTAGGTTTTGTGAGCAAAAGAGGAATTTCGCGAAAGGGTGGAAAAGAAATTGAAAGAAAGGACTCAATTGAAGAAATTAAAAGTTTAAGGGTGAAATTCATCAAGTTAAAACCACAAATCCAACCCATACCCAATATTGAGCCCGCTAGCTATTCAAGCCCAAACCCAATCCCAAAACTCACCGTTTTATGCAAACCTAAAAAGATATATTTTCGTAAGTCTCCTTCATTCTCACCCTCTCTTTCACGCGGACTCTCGGCCTCCCTCCCTTCCTTGCATAGAATCTCACCAGCAACCATCTTCTTTCTTTCTCTCCGACCACCAGCGGCATCGCCCTACAGGACTCTAAAGCCCTTTGATCTCACCAATTTCTAAATCATTGTCTCTCTCACCTTCTCTTTCCCATGCAAATTCGTCGGCGACTTTCTTTCTTTCCCCGATCGTCATCATCATCTCCCATGGCTCCCAAAACCTTTCATCTCCACCAAGTTCTCAGCCCTTACTCTTTTCTCCCTTGATTCGTCCATTCTCGGCCTTTATTACATCTTTTGTTCATCCATCCGAAGCACTTTCACAGGCAAGTGTGACCCACACCGACGAGTGAGCATCAGAATTGGAGAAAAGAGAGCCAGATCTACTGATCGGTGATGGAGGTGTTGTACACGCGATGCCAGCGAGAAGAAGCTTCCTGGGAACTCCCAGTTCGACTGCAGATCTGACAAGTTCTTGGTCAGATCGTCCTTTCAACCAAAAAGAGTTCAATATGGGCCATTTTCTGGAAAAAAATTAAGGCCTAGATTGCTTCCAAAGGCTGGGAAAGTGCAGATCCAAATGGGTGAGCTTCACCGAGTCTGGGCCTGTAAGTAATTTGGGTTTCAGGTTTTTTTTTTTTTTTTTGCTTTGATATAAATAAGGGTTTTAGGGGGTAGAAAGGGGGTCTGGAGTCGGAAAAAGGGGGGTTTTCTTTTGGAAGCAACAGCGGTTGAAGAAGAGAAGGATCGTTGAGTTTCCAGAGGGATCGTCGGATGGGCACATTTTCTGGGTTATCTCTCTTAGGTAATTTTTGAAACCGAGGGTTTGTTTTTTTAGGGAAAGTGGTGAAGGAGATGATGGGAGCTTGGTCCCGTGGATGGGATCCCTCCCATCAAATCCAGATCTTTTTTCTTCAAAAAAATTTCGCCATGTTTGCTTTTGTTATTGTCTGTTGATTTTTCCTTCATTTTTTTTTTTGTTAAGATTTGATGTTTAAGCTTTTATATGTTTGGCTGAAAAATGAATGAAAAATCAAAGATTGTTCGATTTCTTTTGCCTGGTGAATGTGTTTCTTGCTGGATAAATTTCCATTTGTTCTAGGCCAAAACTCCTATTTGCACCATCCATTTATTTTTTTTCCACGGTCAACACTTTACGTAATTTTTTCTCTTTATTCACACCCTCCACTTTTCAAAACTCGTGAAAAATCTAATATTTTAATAGATCGTCACGGTCCCGTTAATAACCGTTAAAAATTGTAATACATAACATTAAACAATAACATAATCCAATGTGAACTTTTTTTTTTGATGATATGGCATAATAAAATCAGAATTAATTTTAATTTTTTCATTTTCTTCTTTCCCGCATCATCTTTTATCATCTTCCTCTTCATCTTTCTGGGTTTCTCATGAAACTAGGTACCCAAAACTTTTTTTTATAATGTGTTATAATTAAATCATCATTAATTTTAATTTTTTCATTTTCTTCTTTCCCGACATCATCTTCACCATCCTCATCCCCTAGGTTCCTCGCAAACCCCAAGTTCTGAGTTC